CCCCCCCCCCCCCCCCCCCCCAAACTGCAGAGATGGCTTCATAGTCAGAGGTTTCACTGAAAAGCCCTCTTCATTTCTTGAGTAAGTTAAATTTTAGGTTCTTTTTTTCTGGTCCATATCTATGGCAAACATACTAAGTTGATAATTACATTTTAGATACAAGTCCTTAATTTAGCTACCCAGGTTTCATAGATACATAAATATTTTTAAAAAATAATTCATTTTAATTCAGTTAATGTGAAAACATTGACAAATTATGATTCAACCTTGAATCTTTAGCTAAAGCCAAATCAAACCCTTTGTGATATATAAGAAAAGTTTGGTTAACTTTTTAATTTTGAAAAATCTATTTATTTTGTTATTTTGCTCCTCTGCACTTTCTGTTTGTATCCCAGCTGAGCAACAGAGAGGACACATGCTATAAATTAAAGACTGTTTTTGTCATTTTTCTAGGTAAATTTCTCAGGCCCAAGAGATTGGTGTAAGGTTTTATAGATCATGCCACCAATCCAAACATAAATTTATAAACTTTTGATTCTTCTCTCCTTAATACTTGAACTATATTTTGAACCATAATTATTTTGAGGAATTTTTACAAGGGCAGAAATTATTGCTGGTTAGAGTAGTATAGATAATCTGGAGTAATAGCAAAGGGCACATGCTAAAGACTTGTGTAATTAAGCAATGTGACAAGACATGGCATGCATTTATGAGCAGATGGTGCGTTTTGCTATTTCTGGTTGCATCATACCACGGCTGATACACCCAATAAGAACATTATAGAGATATTCCAGAAAGTTTTGATGCTATTAAACATTTAAATAAATATTCTGCCTAAGTATTTTGTTGTTAGGAACATAGCTTCATGGTTATAAAGGCAACAGGAACTGGTATGTTATGTGTTGGTAGACACTGGACAAAAATATTATTTATCAGATACCATGATTTTCAAAAATGATCTGTATAGATGTAATAGTTGCCGATGATGTCCATGGGAATATCAGCACTGACTGCACTGTGTTTTTTTGGAAATCCCAAATATAAGTGTTCTTAAAGAAGAATGCACAAAAATGCAGAAATTAATGTGGGGTGTAATTAAGTACTGGGCAGGGCATAATTAAAATGTCATTACTATTCTTCTGTAATAACTTGCTATTTCCTACCACATGTAATACTTACAGGGAATAAGGAAGTATGACATTTTTTGCTTCACATCTTCCTGGTACCACCTCCTGATTGTGAAGCATACATCCTACTGAGCACTTTGCAACCTCCTCGTTGGCAAGAAGACTGTCTCCTGTGTCTCTGTGCTGCACCATTTTAGTTGCATGCATATTCATTTATTTCCTAAAATGATTTGCCTATCTCAGTAAGCTAATTTATTTCTTTTTCTTACTTACTTTCTAGGTAGAGGAAGGAAGGTAAGTTTTACTTTTTTATCTTTTTAGATGTAATAAAGCCATATGCAGGTTCTTATTTTTTTAATTTGGACACATCACAGAATTTGAACTTTATAATAAAATGTCACAGACAGCAATCATTTCATTCTAGATGGCAGGTGGTGTGTGTGGATGTGTATGATGTGTATGTACGTGTGTCCTTTTGGAACTGTAAGAGTGATGTTGTAGCCATGGCAGTCCAGTAATTATGCAAGAGGCAAGAACAAAGAGTGTTACCTGATGAAGAGCTTTTTATGTTCAAAAGTTTACCTAACTTTATCCCAACTACATAGTTAGTCCAATAAAATATATCACCCTAACAAATTCTTGCCTCTCACATCTTTGGATTCAGCACCCTGCCATCTTAAGTGCCTGAAGAGCTTACGGCATTCCTGGAGGGTTAGCATATCCTGATGTTTCAAACCTTAGGACTCCTTTGGAGGAGTTTTTTTCCCTTAGTAAATTCAGGTTAAATACTTCATCTGGTTTCAACTCCAGTAGTATCACAAAGGGGATCCCCTAAGTCAGCGGGATCTAAACTTGTGTTAAGGATTTAGGATGGGATCTTCTGAGAGAGTTAGGTGCTCCATATGCCTAGGTCCCTGAGATTCCTCAGCTTATGTTAAAACCTGCACTTTGTCTACCCAGATGGTATGTTCACTTTGCAGTCAAAGGCACAATTGCAGCCCATGTAGGCATTGCTTGCCTGGGTTTAAACTACCTACGATAGAGCCCAATGATGTAGCTGAAGTTCCATGGAGCTTAGTGTCGACTCATTGCTCAATTATATAACTAGGTTTCCTGCTGGAGCTGAGTCCTTTGCTACTGTGGTTAGTGATACTGATAAATGAGCTATCAAATGTAGAGGTAACTTGCGTATACCTACACAAGCCACAGTTACACATTTGACTGCAAAGTAGACACACCCAGAAACTGTCTAAGTGATAGTTCATAACCTGGAACAGTGGTGCAATGAACTATGCTTAATAATCCAGGTTACAATGGACTAATTTTATACTACTGTTGGTATAATTATGTTAAATGAAACAGTAAAAATAAATGTGTCTAAACAAATATTCCTTATCTTGCTGTTGTTGCTAACAAGTTCAGCAGCAGATGTGATAGTTGAACAATTTGATCCTATTGCTTAAAAACACATCACACTGTTTTTTATTTATTTAAAAAAAAATCTAACACCAGAGACACAGTATAGCCCACAGGATGATTTTTTTTAAGTCAGTGGAAGAAGAGTGTCTGTGGTATCTGAATGTTTGTGGTTGACTTTCTTGGAAATGAAAAGCTACTTTGTGTGTGCGAGCAACAGCAGATGGCAATGATAGCACTTGCATCTATATGTAGAAGTGATCAAAGAGTTTGAATTCAAAACATAGTCGTTTTTCAGTCTGAGCTTTCTTGAAGCCTGAATCAATAACATGCATAATTAAAAATACCATTTATGTTTAGCTTTCTTATAAAAAATACAATGTCTATAGAAATAAATGTTAGGGTCCAAGGGCCACTTAGCACTGTCTTTTGTATTACCATGTATGTGTCAGGGGGTATTAGAAAGCATTGAAAAAAGTTACTGCAGTTAAAGTTTTGATTCACTAATATTTTGCTATATGAGAATTATTTGTGACTTTCCCCCAGGGAGAAAAAGGAGAACCTGGAATAGTGCCAATTGTAAGTCCATTCTTCTTTCATTTATCAGTGCTTTATATAAATGTGCATTCCTTGTGCTGTAATTTAAGGGATTAAAAAGCAATCATCAAAACAACAAAATTGCAGCATCTAGCAGAAGAGAAGAAAGAGATGCTAATTGTTAAAAAAATAGTCACATTTGAAAGAATAAAACAATGCCTAGTATTTAACTTATGTGCTATTAAAAACTATTAAATTTATTTTAGGAAAAAATATGGAATTAAATCTGCACATGGCAACCTTTGTTTTTATAGTTAGAATCTTGTGTATTGTGTGATCAATAGCAGGCTAAAGTTGGAAAGGTTGAGGTGTAATACATAGAACTCAGAGAAAAAGATGAACATTTTCATCAAGAACAACAAAATTAATGTTTTTTGACAATTTATTCAAATCTTTCAAAATTAAAAAAAATACAACTTAAAAAATATTTTAAAATATAGTGACCATTTTCACTTTCTCTCTGCCTATACATGTTATCCCTAGGAAAAAGAGAGGGGCAAAGGTAAAAACTAGTAAGCAAAGTGAAGCTAGGTCATTTTCTTTCACACATTAATCCTATTCCATGGGAAAAGGTTGAAAATAAGATTTTTCTTGGAGGAGAAACTAGGGGAAAATATTTTCCTGTACCTTTAAACATTTTTCTACTGAAAATATACAAGAATGCTTAAAAAAAAGAGAGAGACAGAAGTAAGAAAAGTAACTTTACTTTTTGAAAACCTTTTCACACTTTTCAAAACTAAAAATGTAAGTGCAACATTTTAATCAGATGTCTACTGATATTATTTAGCAAAAGTGCTGAAGCTTAAAGAAGGTTAAAAAACCCTGAAGTTGGTTGGCTTTATCTGCTGTACTGATCTGCATTTTTCTGGAACTGCTTTCTTTATGGGAGGCATAGCAAATGCATGCCTCGTTCTGTGAAGACTTCAGATCATGTCTAGCTTGTGTCTTGTTGTTTAGGTTACAGGTATACGAGGCCGCCCTGGACCATCGGTGAGTAACTTCTGAACTTCTGTTTCTCTTACGATGTTATTTCCAAACTCTTCAATGTGAAAGTGCCTTTTGGCAAGAATCTTCACAAATGTGGAGGGCACTGCATACAATGGAGCTGCTATAGACTGAGTGGAAAAGGAACAGGTAGCACTACATTTCTAGTGTGATCAAGAGACTAGCCCAGTAAAGACTCATTAGCATGCAGAGAGGGATGGGGATGGGTGAGCAGTGGGGCAGGGCACTGTGGGTCTATAAATCAGTGATATCCTATGGAAGTAGAATATGGGCTACAGATGTAACTGTATCCTTGAAGCTACAAACTAGCAGATTAAATTTGTTATCTATATATGGCTTGGGTAAAGGTTTGTGTTCATATCCCTCCCATGCTATAATTGGCTACTTGGAACTGCAGAAGGAGGGAGAATTTGCCCATATATAAAAGCCACAAATTGTGAAAAGCGAGTGTGGAAAGGTGAGGATGAGGCACTGAATCTCAGAGGCCAAATTGTCCCTTCTTCTGTGTAGCCTGTCAATTGTCCCTTCTTCTATGTAGCTTGTAGCCAATCAAAGCACATAAAAAAACACCTAGCGGGAAGCAAGTTACCTTACTGGTATCCTGCCTTGAGAAAGATGCAGGATTTAGGAAGGGACAGAAAAGAGGGCATGGAAAAAGCAATTAAGAGCATGGGTCCAGGACTCCAGATAGTGATGAATATTGCCTCTGAAAGTGCAAATAAATCAGAGGTCTCAGAGATACATAGGAGAAAACTGCTTTAAGCATCTGTAATACCTGTGGCAGAGTTCGATTGTTTTGCCAGCCATGGAAAGTAATACAGGAAAAGCTTTGTTAGCTGGCACCCATGGGAAATGGAGGGTGCTGGATAACAAAATATGCCGGTTAACTGAGCAGCCTGAAAGGGCATCTTTGCCTGTTCGGGCCTTCACCTGTCCCACTGTGTCTGGGGTGTCGCCACCCCTCCTGCTGCGTTATTGCCCCTCCTGCCGTATGGCGGCCCCGTGGGCTCCTAGCGACAGGGAGGGGGGACCCATGCAGGCTGCTATGCCCCAGGCCGTGGGTGCTTGGCAGCTCAGGCTGCTTTCCGCCAGGTTGTGGGAGCTCCTCGAAACCAGAAGTGCCACAGTGAGCACTTCCAGTTTCACTTTTCCCTTACAACCCCTTACAAGCCAGCACACCGGTTCACACAGCATGCCAATGTGTAAGGTGCTGGATAACACAGCTTTTACTGTATTAAGATAATGGGCAGTAGTGGCTTTGGGATTACAAGATAGAAGGACAGGCAGCACATGAAAAATGGCAAAGGAGGTTGCTACAGGATTCTTGGACTTAAAATATGTGGGCAGAGTCATAGTGCCTATGAAAGTGGTTTTTGGCCGTTGTACATACCCGGTGAATTCTGAACCTATTGGCCAGGGGCAGACATTACACATAAACTGGTTTAAGTGATCAGAAACTGGTTTAAACCTGTAACCAAACAGATGTTTAGTTCACATAAACCAGTTTCAAAATGGCTGAAACCTGTTTGAGATAAACTTAGTTGAATCCAGTATCAAACTTAACTGATTTGGTTTAAACCAGTTTATGCATTGTCTGTCCCAGACCCTTTGCTGGTGTGAGTTAAATCAGAGACCCCCAGCATCCCAGCATGCTCTCTGGGCTGGGTGGGGCTCTCTGCTCCCCAGCCCGAGCAAGGGCAGGCAGGGGCAGAGGTCTGGCCAGAGAGGGGTTTAATTCCACCAACAGCGACTAGAGCTGGGTCTACCCAGCACCCCCTCCTTGCCCCCTGTTGCTCTCTGCCCAGAATAGGCCCCCAACTGTCCCCTCCACCGGAGGGAGGAGGGATAACCCTGCCCCTGCCCAGCCATGCCTCCTCCCTGCTGCTGCAGCAGGAGGCAGCAGGGCCCTTTTTGGGAGCAGCAGCCTCTGTCATATTGTGGGGGAGTGCGAGCCCCTTCCTGGTGATGGGCTGCACTGGGGGGCTGGCAGAGCTGTGGCTAGCTGTGCATGGCAGCGCTGGGGTCCTGAGCGGGCCAGAGCCCTGCAAGTCCCCCACAGCACTCCACAGCCCAGCCCCTGCCGGGAAGGGGCTCCCACTCAGAGAAGCCATGGCGGGCTGCTGCCCATCACAGTTACTCACTAGTTGCTTCTCCAGCTGCTGGGTGGGGCCAGGCCTGGCCCCCACTGCTGTTCTGTGCTCAGGGCAAGCCCCCTCCCAGCAGGAGGGGACTTATTCAGCCACTGGCACTGGAGAGCGGTTTGCCTGGCCATGCTGCAGCCTCTGCTGCTGTGTGCTGGGGCCAATGGTTGAATATGCCCCCTCTGGCTGGGAGGGAGCTGGGCCCAACACAACCCTGCTGGTGTGCGAGCGGCATCTCCCTGCTTGGGGCAAGCCCCTCCAAGCTGGAGCGGGCTTATTCAATCTCTGGCCGTGCCCCCCACAACTTCCCTGCAGCTGAGGACCACTCTAGTGCCCCAAAGTGCCTGGCCTGAGCAACTGCAGGCAGGTGCCCGCGTTGCCTCAGTGCAGAGAGCATGTTTGCCCTGTTACGAACTGGTTCAGCCTAGGCTAGGCTAGACTAGGTTAGACTAACCTAAAAAGGTTGAATCAGTTCAGGCTCTGGCTTTTTGAATGTCTGTCCCTAGCCATTGTCTTTGAAAGGGTTGATGCCAGATTCCACTGTTATATGCTTGTATGCGTGTCTGGTGAGGTCTAGGGTATCTGGGCCTGATCCAGTGTTCTTTTGAGAAGGCAGAGTGCTTTTAGTGTGAGCCTGTCCTTCAAGGGTCTTTCTTTTCTTTTCGTCTTCTTCTTCTGCATCTAGCAGCCCTCTGCTTTTTGTCCCACATGCTTTGAGTTGTTACAGCACATTCAGGTCTGTGCCAGACATTCTGACCCTTTCGTCTTTCCCTTCCTGGGGACTATCTTCTGTTGCTACTTCCTGATTACTCGTTTTATAGTTTTTCCTTTTTTGGTTGTGACTTTAGCTGTTGTGTGTGGGACCTCTCTTTTGACATTTTCCATTGTGTGTCCACTCATAGATGTTTAGTAATTTAGCTGAATGAAGGAAAGGAGGCTTCCTATAGAATGAACTCTGCTTTTTGGGTGTCTTTTTTAAGTTCAGTATTTTTGTACATTTTTTTTCACCCTTTGGAATAATACAACCATCAGTCAAAATGCTCAAGAGCAGCAAATTTGCAACTAAAATTAAATTAATTTTTCTCTGTTCCATTCTGGGAAGAAATGAAAGGCCAATTAAGAATATACTTAATGGTTTTAATTTTTCCTGTAGGGGCCTCCAGGCTCACAAGGACCAAGAGGAGAACGAGGACCAAAAGGAAGACCTGTAAGTAGCTAAATGTTCTTAGGTACTTTCTTAATTAGTACATTTAGGCAAAACTGACCTCAAATTGCTTAACTGATTTTAGAGCTGCTCTGACTCAGTGCCCTCTACATATTCCTGCTGTTCCGCACCCACATCCCAAAAAACAAATTACAAGTACAAGATTTTACACCCACTGGTTCTCTGATTAGTCTAAAGTCTGAATTATGTATTTGGAATAATTGACCAATGTCTAGCGTCATTTCAGCTAACACATTAGCATTTGCCAACAGTTACCATAAATAAAATATATGATGGCAGAGTTTTCTTTTCTATTAAAAATAGAAGAAAACTGTAGCATATATGGAAACCAAAAGTAATTGCTAACTTTTGAACAGTGTCTATTGTGTTTCAGAGGCTGCATTAACTTACTGCTCAGAGTATTTTGTAATAGGAGCCAGAGCTCAAAATAGAAGAATTAATATGTGAGCACATATGGTAGCATGCTAGTAAATACTATTACTAAAACTGCGCTACAGATACAGAGGCTTAATAAAGGAATTTTAGCATCTGTATGTAGAAACCACAGAAAAGCCAAAAGGGAATAAGAAAGATATCAAAGGAGTACATGTTCCTATTGGAACCCCCGCCTCCCCCCCTAAAATGCAGAAGTGGCTTTTAGCAGGTTTTTAGATTTAAATTGTTATATTCTTTCAGTTTATATTTGGATATTCTCTTATCCCTTAGGACAGAAAAAGTTTTTACTTGTTGTATGTGGATTTGATGAAAAGCCAGACTCCTTAGGCTATTTCCAGCATTTCCCTTAGATAATAATTGTTGTCTGTAGATTGCCATGGTGTTCTTTCTGCACCAAAGATAGTAAGCTCATAACCTCTCTGAGAGTGATACTGAGCCAAAAACTCCTGCTTCATGTGTCAGTACAAGATGCTTATAGAACAGTTGTTAGTACCCACAGAAGTCCTAGAAAGACACTTTCAAAATAATCCTAAAACTCTGCTGCAGGTACAGTTTAGAGTTCAGATTAGGATGACACCTGAAACAGTTCCAAGCGTCACAATGAGTAACATTTCTACAAGCTGGTAGATAAGCCTGAATTCTATTAGTTCAGTCCTATGATTTTCTCCAGAATCGCCATAAAAATTATGCTTATAAATACATGAACTTTCTAAAAGTCAGCAAAAATTTTGGAATTCTTTTGAAAAAGTTTAAGGCTGATGTTTTCAAAGGAGAAAGGGAGTTTTTAGCTCCTTGCAAAATCTAAGCCTAAAATCTTGGTACTTGGATTATAAAATATCTATCTATCTATCTATAAGACATCCATAAGCTATATATGTAAGACCTAAGTCTCATAATAGATGGTGGATTTACATGCACAGGTCATTAGGTTTGTAAATACACATTGTATTTTGGGAGGAGGACTTTGCAATAAGCAGCAGAATTGCTTTTTCTTTAGCTGAGAGAGGTAGTTAGCCATGTTAATCAGAAGTCAGTCAGAAAGCAGCATAGATATGCCCCTTTACAGAATACCTGAAATAAAAAAAATATATATAAGGTATATCTATATATGTCTATATATATCTATCTATATGTATATAGATAGATAGATATTAGGGCAGTGTGAAATGGCTGTTTCGATTTGGTTTCAGATTCGGCCATTTCAGAGGACAGTGATTCATTTCAGTGTTTTGGATCACTGTCCAGTTTTGTTTTGGCTGAATCTCCTCCGAATCTATTTCGAACAGGCTGCAAAGGAAGCTTTGCATAGCTCTACCCAGCCAGGCAGGGCTTGGGGCCAGGGGCTGCAGGGCCTCAACGGGGAGCAGGCTGGGGCTGTGGGTGGCTTGTCCAGGGGAGGGGGAAGGCCACTGCCCTCCGTGCAGGCAAGGAAACCCCTGTGTGGATTTCTGATCCCTGTCACACCAGGTTGAGGGGCAGTGCAGAGTGGTGAGCAAGCCTGCTGGTCCCTGCTGCGTGACTTGGCTCTGCAGGGAGCACAGATCCACGTTGGGGGTCTCCTCTCCACTAAAGCCCGGTCTGTGCTGCCCCGGCGATGTGGTGCTGTACGGGGTGGGCAGCATTGGCAAGGAGACCCTGGCACAGATCTCTGCTTCCTGTGGAGCCAGGTTGTGTGGCAGGGACCAGCACTGCCCTGCTGTGCGACCTGGCTCCACAGGGAGCAGAGATCCGTGCTGGGGGTCTCTTCACTGCCACTGCCCACCCTATCCAGTCCCGGGGCAGCATGGGGTAGGCAGCGGCAGTGAGGAGACCCCCAGTATGGATCTTTGCTCCCTGCGGAGCTGAGTCGTGCAGCAGGGCAGTAGTGTACAGCTGTTTCCTGCAAGCCTGGCTCCGAAACTCTGAAATTTTCCAAAATATTTCGGATGCCTTTTTTAGTTTTGGGGATGTTTCTGAGACTTCCGTTTCAATTCGGATTCAGTGTTTCGGGTGCTGAAATGGCCTGAAACACCTCTGAAACAAAATGGTTGCCAAAATTTTGTGCAGCCTGAATATATCTATCTATCTATATCTATCTATCTATATCTATATCTATATATAGAGAGAGAGGACACAAGCTGCAGTGAAGTTCAAAAGCTTTTGTTCTCTATATATTATTTACTTAGTTTATAAGGGTGTGTATTAACTTTCCCACAGTTAAGCCAACTTAACTTTTTAAAGTCAACTTACCGTCAGAGCACGCACATGTATGTGGAGCAGAGTGGACTTATATGCAGCACAAGATAATATACCTCTGAGGTGTATTATCTTGAATTACATTAGTTAAGTCAACTTAGCTCACAAGATAACTGCCGCCCTGTCAAGGATACTAAAAGTCATTGCTTCAGAAATTGATAAAGAGTAAATTAAGTATTTTTCATCAAGCTGTATTTTCTTTCACTGTAACATCAAAAGCGAAACTTGTATTGATCTGTTTTCTGAATACCAACCATGGTGGTCCGGTGTTATTTGCAATATATTGCATGCATGTTTAAAGGTTGCCACCTTGTGGACCTATTTGGAATATTTCTTCCTAAGAACATCACTATTTACTAAGAGTTTCTAAAAGATGAAATATAATGAAGTTCACTGGACATAATTGTTTTACAAGTGCAAAATACTTGAGATGTGCTAAGCCTAGTTATATAGTTCACCTCTCCAAATAAACACCTAACTAGCTAGATTTCCACCTGCAGTATTGGGGTTGCAGCTGATAACTTTTAGTGGTTAAAAATATTTCATATTTTATTTTCCACCACTACAAAATATCTGTCTGAAGGGAAGGCCAGGTAGAAAGCTAGGGCGTTGCTTGTGTTCCCATTAAAACAAAATAAAAGAAAACATCTGGAGACAACAGATAAACAGAATGGCCACTGTTTTAAGAAGTGATTATTAATTAGCATTGCTTCACCTTTGGGGTATGCAACTTGAGACAGTTTAGGTTTGCTTTTCAAGAGGACTAGTGCAGAGCTCCTTCTGAAAATCAGGTCTGGTTGAAGTGACTCGGGGCGGGGAGCGGGCATGGGCTTCCAAGATCAGATGTTATTTTAGGAAAAGCTTGCCCCTATTATTAATTGGCATACTGTTTTCCCTTTGATGCATGTTTTCCTCCCCTCTGTTTCATTTTGAGACAAAGGAAATAAAATAATGAAGAAACACGCTGTTCCTGTTTTAGGTAGTAAGTTCTTTGGGGGCTGGCTTTGTGTCTACTTATGTTTAAAATAAAAATATTAAATAATAATAAAGAATTGGATGCACAAGTAAGTTTCCTGATGAGACTCAAAGTCTCTTACATGTATATAAATCCATCTCTCAGGGTTATGCTCCTTTTATTCCTGTTATTTTATGTCTAGCCTACTACAACTGAAGTTCCAACAGCATATGTACTGCTAGGATTTTAGGACATACCACCACAAAAATATATCTATATAGAATACAGAATTATGTAATAAATCATTAACTTGCCCCATGAGAGTTTTACAGTGTCCTGTGGTCAAATGTGTTTGAAAGCTTCTGTTCAGGAGAACTTCCTTTCTAATGAAAAAAAGATGTTATTCAATAGACATAGGATGCATCGACCTGAATACTTAACTTCACATTAGCATAATTTACTGCAAATTAAACTTGTGTGTCTACACATGCACATCCTGACTTTGCAGTAAACCTCTTTAATCCCAAGTAAATTTTCTACCTGCAAATGCAAGTATCAAATTTACTTGAGATTAGTAACAGTGCTTATGTAGATGCCTGACAAAGAGCAAAATCTTCTCCCGGCCAGCCATCTGCCAGGGGGTGGGAGATAGGTCCCTGTCCCTGGGAGCTGCCTGCTGCTGGGGCAGACCCTTTGTCCCAGCACTGGCTACATGACCATGGGGCAAGTGCTGGGGGATCCTTATCTCCCAGCCTCAGCTCCATGGTCATGGGGCTTGGGATAGGAGACCCTTATTTCCCAGCCTGAGCTCTGCAATTGCGGGGATTCTTATCTCCCACCCTGAGCTCTGCGATCATGGAGCTCAGGCTGGGAGATAAGAGTCTCCCAGCACTGGCGCCGTGGTCATGGAACCAGAGCTGGGAGCTCCCTGCTGGTGGGGGCAGGGGATCCTATTCCCTGCCCAGCTCCATGAGCACGAGTATAGAGCTGGGCAGGGGGGGGAAGGCAGGGGAGCTTGTTCCCTGCTCAGCTCTGCACTCATGGAGCTCAGCAGGGAACAAGCTCCTCAGCCTGTTCTCCCTGCAGCTCTGCACTCTTGGAACTGAGTGGGGAACAAGTTGCCCAGCTTCTGCCTGGTGTGCAGGCAGGGGTTGGGAACTGTTTTGGTCAGGGACAGGTTGCAGCCCCATGCCCTAATCAAGTGATTGAGGCACAGGACTTAGAAAGAGATGCAGGGGTGGGGTAGGTCCCATCCCCCTGCACCGATCTGCTGGTGGGGCAGATAGCTGCTAGACTGTGGCTAGCTGCCCCACTGGCAGATTAGGGCAGGGGGCTGGGACCTATCCACCCTTGCAGCTCTTTTTAAGCCCCATGTCTCTATCACCCAATTGTGGCACAGGGCTGGAACCTGTCCTTGAGCAGGACAGTTCCCAGCCCCCACCCTGCATACCAGGTGGAGGCTGGGCAGCTTGTTCCCCACCCAGCTCTGTGAGTGTGGAGCAGAGCAGGGAACAAGCTTCTCAGCCTGTTCCCTATCCCTCCTCCCCTTGCTCTGTGCTCGTGAAGCTGGATGGGGAACAGGTTCCCCTGGCCCAGCCAGCAGTGAGCTTCTGGCACCAGCCTTGCAACTGCTCTCAACGTAAGAGATAGGGGACATTATGGAAATCAAAACCACATGACTGAAATGACTTCTCTAGCTATGGTCCAGATTCTCATCTAATTTAGACAAGAACAAGTTTGAAGTAACTTCATGGCAACAGTGAAATCTTCCTGGGCCTGCTGAGTTAGTGATCAGAATATGGTGTCATGTGACAGGTGGGCAGAAAATACATGAAAGTTGGCAAGTTTGTCTCTGTTTGGAGACTTCACACTTTCAACATCGAAATGTACTGTCCTTATATACTATTCACCCTTCTCTACTTTTAGAAAAATGGTTCTTGCTCCGCTTATGCTGTGTTCAAGGCTAAACATTTTTAAAGCTCATAACACTATTTATTAGTGTTATGAGCTATTCCTGAGGCTCTGAAAGGGCCTTTTAAAGTTGCTCAAATTTATCTCTGGACTTATAGGATGCTGCTAACTCTAGCCAGTGCTTCTGATCTGAGGATGAGGAAGATTCATGAGAGATGCTGTCTGGTTGAGGACCTTTCAGCAGAAATATTAGCTTAAGAACCAACTAATTATTTGTAAATTCTGATGAGTCTCACGTATATATGTGTGTGTGTGTGTATGTGTGTGTGCATGTGTCTGTACTGTACACTGTTGTTTTCCTTTCCAGGGTGCCCGTGGTCCTCCAGGGATGGATGGGGAACCTGGTATCCCTGGACAGCCTGGTGATCCTGGTCCCCCAGGACATCCAACCCACCCAGGACCAGATGGAGTAAGTAGGGTAAGTTTTATAGTCACATAAGTACAGAACCTGGGTTGATGAAGCACCAGAAAAGGCAGGGTATCTTTGCACCTTATAGACTAACCAAAAGTGTGCATGTGTGTGTATGTATAGAGAGAAAAAGAAAGAGCAAGATGGCACAAGCTTTCATGGGTTGAAGCTCACTTCATCAGATGCTGGTAAAGATCAACTGAGTACCCTCAACTCCCATTCACCACAGTGCCTTTCAGAGACACAAAACTAATGGTTGTATGACCATAGAAGACTTGGAATTGAAATAATGCGACTAGGATGCCTTTTCAATCATTAGTTGCTGCCATTCATTGAAACAATGATTTCCTGTTTGGTAACATGTGGTTTGAGTGAAGCATTGTGAATGTGGTGCCAGCTCAGGGCTTTGTGATCAGCAGTTTTCAGGATATAGCTGTTATGCATGTCTATAGATGCAATGTAGATTCATGTTTATATGTGTGTTATTTAAATCAGGGCTGTCCAACTTGTGGCCTGGGGGCTTTGTGCAACCCACAAGGGATTAATATGTGGCCTGTTTCCCCCACTGCTTTGGCTACTGCTGCCACTGGGCTTTCCATGCCCTCCTTCCCTCCTCCTTCCTTGTCCCCAACTCCAAGAAGGGTGCCAGTGGTGTGGAGCAAGGCCCGTGGGCTGTGCAGGTACTGTCCACAAGCCATGTGAGCCCATGTGAAGGTAGACAGTCCAGATTTAAGTACATTGCTGTACATTTCAGTTACTTTTCACTTAAGCTTTTGTTGATTAAAAATGTAAGTTAAAAGTAGCTAATTTTTATGAATGTTTAAGTGGACTATAGCGCTCAATTTTTTTTAGCATCTATGAGTAATATGAATCCATTATGTTTATGTGCTTGGTAAAGACTATCAAGATCCTGTTTCTCCTTTATATTTAATGGCTGGAGAAGGATTGAGAGAGGATGAAATCTTTTCCTTTTTATTAAACAGGGTTGACCTTTTGAAACAAATTGTTGAAATACAGGGAAGAAGGGGTGGAACGTAGGTGTCAAGAGGGATGACTTCAAGCAACAATGATGATGAAAAAATTGGAAGGGATGATATCTCAGGAAAGCCTGAAGGGACCTTGCTTATATATTTTAACAGCTAAAAAACAAAGATCCCTTTCCAAAGCTCTTTTACAGATACCAAATGACTTTAGACCTGGCTCATAGGGATTAGAACACTAGAGATTCAGGGAATCTTGGAAAAGTTAGTAGAAATAAAGGGATGGAATTTAGCAAGAAGACATTTAGGTTGCACATTAAATAATTTAATAACTGATCAAGCCAATTAAGATATGGTTAAGACTGATGCCCAGAGAAGTTGTGGATTCCCTATTGCTGGAATTATGCAGCTGGAGAAAGCAATCAAGGAGGATCCTTAGGACCAATAGCTCTGGATATGGTTTAGCTGTTCTACAAAATATGTCCATCTCCAGGGTCTATGAAACATAAGATTAATTACAAGCTAATCATGCTGGAATATATGTTACTATATTGTTTATTGCGAGCATTAGGCACCTTATTGAAAACAAAATTAAAATGTGGATCTTAGAAAGTGTTGAATGCTGTCTTCATATGACATTAAAATGCATTCAAATTAGAACTTACTGAAAGAGAAATCTAGTTAATTTCCAGGATAGATCGCTCTTACCATTAAAATGCAGTATGTTCAGAAATTAACAGAATAGTTTGTTACCTTACTACTGTCTCCTGCTGCCTATAGGCCTGCTCCAGCTTTCATTTGAGTGAATATGTACTGTATGCTCATCTTTAAATGACAAAACATACTAATTAATACTACAAAGCCAATATAAGTAATGGTAAGAGTAAACTGCATACCTTTCTGCCTTACATGATAAGCACGATTGCTTGCTAAACTCAGCCTTCTCATGTTTGCAGCCGTTTGCAGCTCAGATGGCAGGTTTGGATGAAAAAACTGGACTTGGTAGTCATATGGGACTCATGCCTGGTGCAGTGGTAAGAATGCATAGATTTCTTCCTTAGAACAGAAGTAAAGTAAAATACGTAAGCAAATAATGAATACAAAGTGAACTCATCCACCCAAACTCCATATGTTTCCTATATATAAACATAGTCACACAGAAAGCTTTAGCTCTGTTTGAAAAATAAACATTAAAGAGATTTAAAAAATGTTCCCTTTGTTAAAATGAAAGCTTCTTCCCTTCCTTCTTTCCTCTGTTCTTAACTTCCACTGCCATAGAGGTGATCAGAAATGGACAATCACTTTTCCCATGATTTGAGCGGTTGCTAGAACACTGGTGCAAGGCATATCATGTTCTATAGTAACTGAATACTTACCTTTAAGTCTTTTCTTTCACAGCCTGACCTCAAAGCTGCTCATTTTTAGCAGACATTAAAAAGACCAAATAGCTTTTGAGAACCACCTATGGAGTGACAGTTGTGCTATATTATTGATTTTTTTTAAAAGCTTCTGTTTTTCTGTTCTGACTCATACAGTTCCCAAGGTTTCTTTTCCCCAAGGTTTACTTTTGCAACTTTACTGAAATCTTCCATTATTCATGACTTCAAGTGAACTGAGGCCTTAGTTTTCATTTTCCACTTTTCTCACTATAATAGTTCTTTATCTCCATCTTAGTGGTTACATCTAGTAATCAGCATTATCTGTGTCTCACATTTTTTCATTGCTTTGTGCTGTGGTGTCTTGAAGACACTGATAACAGCTAAACATGTCAGATAGCCACTTTATTTATTTTTTTAAAAACTTTTTAAGTTTTCCATTTTGATTTGTAGAATGCGGTCAGTGCTTAACAGACAAAAAATATCAGCTACTTCAATTAATCCAAAATTATGCAGCATGTCTAATTATTGATTTGCCTTCCTTATAAGACTTTCCTATAATATATATGTCCTCACTCTTTGGCTATGTTGCTGCTTGGAAATCCCCTTGCATTTAATAATTTTGTTGCCAAAGCTATCTTTCCTAGTTTCTTCCCACTTTAAAAACATTTCTTCAGTCATTTTGTGATAGTCTCTTCACCCTAGATATTGCATCCTCTTCTGCTGCATTTCTAACAGCTCCATACAACTCTATTCTCTTTATTTTTCTGTCCTTTATTCCCCCAAATCTTATTTACTATTGCAAAATCCCTTCTTTCCATTGTCGTCATGATTCTTCCATTGAAGCCAATGCGAAGTCCACTGAAGTCAATACAATCTTGCATTAACTTCACTGGGTTCTGATATATTTTCTTTGACTGTTCTAGTAAACAGTCTTTGACTATCATGCACAAGCAGCAGTGGTTTGCTTATTTGTACTTCTTGTTATTAAAACTATATATTGGTCTCTTACTGTTTCCTTCTCGTACCCTCATTTTGTGCTTCACTTTTAAAATAAAGTAATGGTAAATCTACTTGGAAGCCACCTATTCTTTACATATGACAGAGAATGAAGTTTTTAAATTTTGCATTCCTTGTGGCTTTGTCACGATTCAAGTTATCTATTACATAATTTTTTCTTGTTTTCTAGAATTCTAGGAGGTGGGCAAAAAGTACCTATTCTCTCCCCTACCCGCCCCAACCTCTGTTTAATGCTCTGGTATTATTGGGTGTTAGCAGGATAGATACTGTAGAGCACTGGTCCCGTGATCCTATTCATCTGAAGAATGATAGAAGGATTTGAATTTGGCTGCATTCTATTTGACAACATCTTGTCATTTCATTTATAATTGTTAGACATTTGCCAAGCCTTGGTTCTAAGGCCTCATCACTCATTCTGAGGTTGGGGAATGATGAAGAGCATTCTCTTCCTAGAGTCAGCAACTCCACAGAAAAAAACAGCAGTCCATTGTTTTCACACACTTCTCCCACCTGGATTTACATATATCCTATTTTTCTGCTTGTTCTTTGATTTCCTTCTCTTACACTTTATCTACACTGAACATTGCAGTGCTTTTGGAATATAGTTCTCATTTTACTTCCAGGGGCTTTAACCATAAAAATGTCACAATCAGTACACCCTGTTTTGGCTCTCTATAGAGAAATTGATTTGATTTATTTTTTGGAAACTGTTTAATAAGCTCTTGTGTTCTTCATAGGGTCCGGTGGGTCCAAGAGGTCCTCAGGGTCTACAAGGAAAACAAGTAAGTGATTTGTTTTGAGTTATTAAACACAGATGTACAAAAAAAAGGCAGAGTACATAATAACTGTATTGGGCACATACCCTTGTATCATGGCACGGGGTCCTGCAGGATGGCCATGATCTCCCCAAGGCCCCCTTACTGTACCAAGTTGGCCCAATGGACACCCTTGATCCTTGCCCGCCACGTCTTTGATGCTAAATATATAATAGGGAGGCTGCCTTTACATCCTCTTGGACATGGTTTGCTGACCCCGTGGACTCCTGGATCCCTGGTGGGTCCCGTTCTGCCATGGGTGTTTTGGGGCACCCTAGCCTTATGGCTCCAACCACCTCTTTATCATGCCCCAAGCCTCACAGATGGAACTGACGTTGTTCGGTCTGGGCCTTGTTATAATTTGGCCCCCTGGTCCTCCCTGGGCTCTCCGCAGCCCTGTCTCACACTGTGCCTTCACTGGTGCTCGGGCTCTCCATGGCCCTGCAAAATGCTGCACCCTCTCTGGCACCAGGGTCCCCACACTGCTGTGGGGACTGGGAGTTTCTTGCACCCCTGAGCCCTAGGGGTGCAAGCCCTAGGGATCTGTGCATCCCTGCAGTGTTCCCCTGGGTGCAGGGGTTTCCCACACCTCCTGGGGTGAGGAGATCACTGTAGCAGTGTTTCTCCAGTCCTGCAAGTGCGTGGGGCACCCCCACAGTTTGAAGCCCCTCAGCTAGGGTATATGGGGCTCCATGCTGAAGGAGCTTGTCAGAGCAGCAAGAGCCTTGGATTAGGCTCCTTTTGCATTGGCAATAAGTCACTATGAGATAATTCATGATCCCACAGTTGCGTCCCCTGCCATGCCAACATGCGTGGCAGAAGGCACAATTGTGTAAATTGCCCATTAGAGCCCATTGCACTTTTAGCTTCATGCTGGCAGGGCACGGTGACTGCCCACAGGTGGTGGCAGCTATGTTGGTGTCAGGGGTATGGTGGTGGCGAGTGGGGAGCTCCTGTAGGCAGCTGCAGTGGTTTTGGAGGTGGGGGAGGGAGTTGACTGGCAGTTGGTGACCACCCGCAGACACCACCGACAGTGTCAGTGGTGGGGGGAAGGGGGTATGTGGCAAGCAGTGACTGCCCACAGGTGCTGCCGGGAGCACTGGCAGCAATTTTTACAGAGGGTGCACTGCCAATCTCAGGGGGTGCACGTGCACCCACATGCACCCCTTTGCATCACCAAAGATAGAGGGGCCTCAGAAACACAGTGAACTCTTTATCTCTAGTGTAACCCCATTAACTTGAATGGAATTAAACATAAAATGTAGTTGGTTTGAAATTACCTTTTTTATCATATACTTATTATAACTGCCCTTGATTCATGGTATTTTTATTCAAAGAAAATATAACTCTCTTAAGATACCTTTTTTTAAAAGTTTTCCTGATTGCATATCTTATAGAAAGAATAGCTTGCAATATATTAGCCCATCCCATTGTCACAAGGAATTAGACAGGTTAACCCAAGCTTGACATATTTAGCACAGGTCACCATAGACTATTCCAGGTAGAGGACTTGACCATTTCTATTTCATTATTACTTTTTGATGCTAGACCACTGGCCTCTTGACACAAATACAGGCCTTCCGCTGATCTTAGGTGCTTGTACAGTTTCCTGTAAATTCATAGTTTGGCTATCCATCCAATTATAGGTATAGCTTTGCTTTGAATTTACAAGCCACATTCTGCCAGTGTAATGCCGTTTGAGTGGTGCCTTATCTTAGAAGTAGTCTCATTGATTTTTGGCTCTTCCCTACTGCTATATTCTTATGAAGTAATTATTCTAATTCTGTTTTTTAAAAAGGAGTTCTTTCTTAGGGCCTTGTTACACATTGCACTTTGAATTGTTCAAACGTTGAGTGGTGCTGAGTGTTAGTGCTAGCTCGAGTTTGGGGCACTCACACCTTAAGGCTAAAACCCTTCTCTGTTTCTCACCTGCACAGTTACTTGCCACTACAGGGCTGGTGAGCCAGAATAGACTTTTGCCCCTGCCCTAAGTGGAGGTGTGTGAGAAATGGGTTGGGGCGGGGGGGTGGAAACATGAAGTTGGGATGTGGAGAGTTAATGGAATGGAGGTGGGTAATGAAATGGAGGGAAGAAAGGAAATGGCGGTGGGAGAAGGGTGGTGAAATGAGGGAAGTCAGCCACTGAAGGATAAAATAAAAAGAAGTAAAATAATTAAAAAGAAATAAAGAGGAAATCAACTAAAGAATGTCTCATATTTTAATAAACTGGAATTTGGGATTAGGGCCTTGGGAGTGCTGGTCATGAGTCTTGGGATGGTTGGGAGGTGGGAACAGTGAGGGAAGGGAGTTTTGGGGGAGCTACTGCCCCAGCTCATGGGAACCCAATATGCCCCCCTAACTTGTCCCTCTTAAATTCCCCAGACTCCATTCCTGGACTCATCTGTGCCCTGCAAACTGGCTAGCTGGCATGTGCTCTGCAGATTGTTTGCACAGAGTTATACCCCTGGGGGCAAGAAAGTCATACCCCTGGGGGGCAGGAGGAGGAGTTGGCCTGGTGCCAGAACTGCCCCCTGGACAGTAGAGTTTAGGGACTAGAAAGTTTGCCCACTGAGAACAGGAAGGTGGGGGAAGGGACAGTGCATTGTGGGACGATGGACAACTAACTGAAACTTGGGTGGTTCATCTATGGGGAGTGGCCACACATTAATGGAACATGAGCTGGATAACATGGATCAGAGATAAACCTGCCTTGGAGTGGTGTAAATTTAAGATGTCTAAAGTGTGCTTAAAACTAGTTTCAGATGTTCAGGTGTGGACAATCCAGGGGCTAAGAGCTGCAGGAACTGCCTAAAATCTGTGTGTAACAAGGCCGTTAGAGTTACATGATACACTGAGAAAGGTAACTAGAAATGACTTTGTAGTGATGGTTTTGGATGATTCCAGAAGACAGTTCTTAATTCAAAAAGACCAAATTGTTATTAGGCTAGCTTAGAGTCTTTGGTTCATTACACATTTTAATGATGACATTTTTGAATACTGAAAAATTCTGGACATTAAATTTCTTTGATTTTCATGATTAGGTTGGAGTAATATTCGAATGGGATATCAGTGGACTGAGATACAAAATTTACATGGGTTCAAGACTTTCCCAGTTTGAAGAATTTGGAATCTAGTTTTCATTCATTCCATCATCACAGTACAGTGGTGATTTGACTGTAGCTGCTCTCACAGTTCAGGTCTGACTCTAAGCTGCCCTGAGGATTGTGATTTATTTGATACATGATACTAACTAGAATTAGTATTTGTTTCTATTTTTTTTTTGTTATTTGTAATGAGTTTTTTCAACCACAGCCTTAGGTTCTAATCTTTTTATTTTGTCTTTTTTGGGTCACTTTTAGGGTGGTCCTGGCCCAACAGGTCCACCAGGTGAACCTGGAGAACCTGGACCAATGGTAAGATTAAATTAATATATATGCATCTCTCCAGTAAGAAATGATATCCAGCAACAGCATTATTTACTATATTTGTCTACAGTACCTTTTCTCATGCTGTATAGCTATAATTACTATATGACGAGACATGTGGTCAGAACTGGTGACAGATTTTTCTGCGGAGTCACTGAATTTCAGTAATTTTTAATGGCAATAGTTTCCATGCTTGCAGTAAAGGACATCCATTTTAATAATAACAATAATTAGCACTTTTAATTGATCATAGGACAGAAGATACTGGGTTTGGTTAATCAAAATTAGTCTCCTGCAACTGAAAGCTACCATCTAGCAAATACTTATCCAAACAGGTTCACGAGGACATCCATTCCAGACCCTCCCACACACTATAACCACAAAGTGCATTTTTATATAGCTAGGATCTTTACAAATATAAAAAAAAAACTTATTAAAACACCCCTACATATGATGTGCAGGATAGAAGGATACACAGGAGTGCCACCTGTGGTTTAGGCTCATGAAGCATTAGGAAACTGGTTAGGTCAAATATTCCAAGATGATCCTAAAAAGTGGACTTTGTTCCATGCCACAGAGAATGACAAAAAAAAACAATGATCTTTCGGTAACCTGACCTGGGAGAAAAGTCCTTTCTAATCCTAAATCTGGCTCCCAGCCTTCATCTTGAAGCATTGGTAAGCATGGCAAAGACTTGGCAAGAAGAGATTAGAATGACTTGCCTAAGGTCACAAAGCGAGTCAGGGATAGAATACTGGTTCTCCTGACTGAGATGCCCAGGCTATAATCACTAACTATTTTTGTCTGGTAAGAAAGTGGACTCACCTGATGGCAGTGTACTGTACCTCTGAAAGGCCCTTGGTCATAATCCTGACCAGGAGTTTGAAACAATTGTGAAGTACCTATTTGCCCTTAACGAATCCATTCCACATCTTAAACAAAGTTAAATGTATCTTTCCTTTTGAATTGTGAGATAGAATAGTTAGGAAGGGCATGCCAGTTAAGAGTTACAGTGTTGCTGAAAAATAAGATCACCTTCTTTACTATATCTTATAAAACAAACTTCCAGAATGAAATATATGAGGTAATGTTTAAATTAACATATTCTTAAATATTTAATGTATTTATATCTTAGGGTCCAGTTGGTTCTCGTGGCCCAGAAGGACCTCCAGGCAAACCTGGTGAAGACGTAAGATTATTTTTTGTTCATTTTGCAATTTGTTTCTCTTTAAAACAAGCACTGCCTTATCATTTAGAGGGTCTGACTAGTGGGTGGGTATGTTCTGATGATTCTTGTTCATTTCCATTTCAACATACCCTAACTTTTCATTGAATCTGGTACTATAGCTATTAACCTTCAGCCTAAGACGACAGGATAAAATTCCTATCTTTTCAACATTCTTATTTCTACTCTTTATCTAGCTCCCTTGTGCCTGAAAGCTTGTCTAGCATCTTTACTGACTATTCACTTGTTCCAATAAAAAGATAGCATCAAAATTCCTTGCTTCCCACATATTTCTTAGACGATTATGGCTATAACAACATCCAACTCTATTATAGTTTTGGTATGGCATGCAGGGGCTCACTCCCCCAGGGCTGTAATTTTCAGATACCTGATATAGCATATCTGTAATGTTCCTTGACCCTACTTTTGAGATGCAGCCTTATTCTGAGATGCTGGTATGAAATCAATCCTTAAATAATGCATAAGAGCTTAAGAAAAGTTTGGGAGCAGGTCAGTTAGGAAGAAAAATGCATTGATAGGATGTTTGGATCTGGATAATAACATATTATTGGTTTCAGAGCAGTGGTGCTCAACCTTTTTCCCCATGGGCCAGTTGGACAGTGCTCTATCTACCCATGGGCAGATTGTGCTGGTGGTCCCCATCTGACACCCGGAGCTGGAATGCTGGACAGTATTCTACCATGTGGAGGGGAAAGGGGAAAGCCCGGCCCCAAGCCAGCCCTGCAGAGGAAGGGAGCATGGCTTGGCCCTGTGGGGGAAATGGGGTGTGGCTCAGCCTCAACCCAGCCTAATGGGGGAGGGAGAAGGTCCTGCAGGGTAGGGAGAAGGGAACATGGCTCAGCCCCAACCTGGTCCCACAGGGGAGGAAGGCAGCATGGCCCAACCCAGCAGAAGGGTTGGGGCCATGGCCCAGCCCCAGTCGGGCCCTGTTGGGCTGGATGGGGGGTGAGGGAGGGCACTGATCCATCTCCACCAAATTTCCTGACCCAAGTGGAGAGCCCTGTCGACAAGATGCCAAGGCTCCATGGGTCGCATTTGGCCTGTGGGCCAGAGGTTGAGCACCCCTGTTTTAGACCATTTGAGTTGCTCCTGAAGACTTAAGTACACCTATAAGTGAAAGAATGAGACAACTGTGATGTATTATTAATGTGGCCTCTGCCACCAAGTTGAAATCTTATATACCTAAGATGAATTATTTTCTGGTAAGGTACATATATATTTGTTTGTAAAAGCAGGGACAATACATTTTAAGCCTGAATTTTAATAACTGGGGGAAGATTAAGGATAATAATAATAACAAAACACTAGATAAAGATTCAGTTCCAAGTTTTTTTTTTGCATGAAATAAACTATATATTGTGGCATCAGAAATTCCCCTGCTGACACATAGGGCTCACCCAGATGAGTGCCCATGTGTAGAAGTGTGCCACTGTTTTTGTTGCTCTGCACGCCCTTGCATGTGGATTTTGGTGCATGGAAAAATGAACTGCTTTGGGGAAATGACCATTTCCGTGCTCCTCCCTGCTCTGGGCCTGCTAGAGGAGGGGAGATGCTCTGGCTGGCAGCTGGAGGACTCTTCTTGGAGGACTCAGCCTCCATGCCTGCCAGTGTATGCTCCAGGAGCATAGATCATGCCACTTTTTTTTTTGCTCAGGCTTCTTTTGATACTGGGATCTCCTGGCATCAAATTTTGGCACTGCACTGCAAGTTAGTAGTGCGGCAAACAGATGTACATGTGGCGCATGTCTGCGGTGCCTTAAACAGCTTTGAAGTGCCCATACAGTACAAATAATTATAAGAACAGACATTTTAAGAAGGGATCAACTCTTAATTCACTGAAACCAAATCAATATATAACAGAGGTTATATTTCTCTAATTCCCAAACTTATAAAGATTTCTTAGTTACCTTTTTGATGTGCTTTATTCCATTTCCAAGCCCAGTTTCCATTTCCAAGCCCAATTCAGAGCCCCAGGTGCTTTATAACAAATTCATAGGGATGGTTGGTTGGTGACTAGCGCTGACTGAGCAATCCTGTTTAAAGTCCATTTACTCAGCTCATGTCAGGTTTCTTTCAACTTCAGGTTGCGCATAAAATGTTTTCATTGAGTTATAATTAAGTTATTCAAACAGTTGAACACTAATAAAGAAAAATAACAAGCCAAAGCCCAAGCCCAAGCCAATTTAGGTTAATATTGCCAGAGAAAATTCTTAGATCGTAAATAAAAATAATTTAATACAAAATATTGCATTTTTACTAATTCAGAGGAAAACAGATCTACAGCACTACCTACAGTTGGGCACATAGGTCAGTTAAAACCAGTTTTCCAGAATTTTCACAATAATTCTGCTTTTTAAAAATGCTACATTGTTATGTTTATTAATTTGGTCACCATAATTAAATACTTACCCAGGGACACCTGTGCTGTTGCTGGATTGAATGTAAACAGAAAATGATGATTTGCTGAATGAGAACATGAACTTTATTGGGAAGATTTTATATGATAGATTTTATATGATTTATTTTTTGACCCTGTTATATGTTTTATTTTAGGGTGAGCCTGGTAGACCAGGACAAGGTGGTGAGGTTGGATTTCCAGGATCTCCAGTAAGTAAACACACACATTGGCTTAGATAACTCTAAAAATAAAGTTTTAAATAAGTATTACAGTTGCTTGTTCCAAGGTAATGACATGAAATTATCACACCCAGCCAGTGCCCCTTTTTTGAGTGGTTAAATTAATTTTGTTGACACCAAATTTACACCAAAGGTGAATATGTTGGGTGACTATATGTCCCTTTTTAGCCAGGACAGTCCCAGATTTCAGAGGCTGGTCCCAACCAGCTGTTGGGACTTATAATGGGTATCTTTTTATACACAGGGGCATGGGGCACAGTCTGAATGGGAGTTGAAGTGGTGCAGAGTACCTTGCAGGCACACAGCCATACTGCTACCAGTTTGTGAGAGTGTGTTTTGTGTGGGGGGACTGATAATGTCCTGGATTTCCTAGATGATGTTACGGGTTTCGGGGATTTCCATATGGTCAGCCTGTGAATATGTCCCTTATGACATGAGGCAGCATTTCCTACTATCTTGCATTGCCATTTACGTCCATGTATAATAGGTTTCTATACAACTTTGTAAGTTGCACAATGCACAGCAATTGTTCCCAAAGTTTACATTATCATTTTTCAAGGGAATATTCTTTGAGCAATATTGGGGTTAGTAGTTAGAAATGCTGCGAGCAGTGTCCCATTCACACTCTCCAGGATAAAATGTTCTGGTGTGTTGTGTCTGGGAAGGAAATATCTTGAATTATCTCACAGAATTTATGATTCCTAGAATACCTGAAACTTCACATATATGTATTTATATACCTTAAGCATGCAGCTGGTCTCATTGACTTATAAGACTACTCATATGCTGAAAATGTGTACACTACAGATGTTTTCTCATGGGGTGAGACATTATTCTCAATTAAGTAGTTTTCAGATTGTTTGGAGTTTTATAGCTCACATCCAACACATTAAACTCAAGACCAGTAGGCTAGCATGCACTCTGGAACAGTTACCCTCTCATCAAGCTGCTTCTGGTGATAAGATCATCTTCCCCTTTCTTTAACATTTTAGAGCAATTTTAAGTTTCTGAACATATATTTTTCTTTAAAGCCTGTAATAACATTGCTGGCATTGAAAGACATATGCAAGATTTATTTTCTGCTAGAGAAAATGTAAAAAATATTGTGCAGTAAGAAATCCTTTGGTAGACTGGGAATGTTGATGTGCTGCCAATATTTCAGCCAAAGGGTTCCAGAAACATTTTTTGCTTAGCCTGTGATAAGTTCAGTTTAGCAGGTGTGCATATGTTTGCAGAGAGGCAAAACAAGGGACTGGGGAATATATGAATTTGTTTTCCTGTTTACACAAAACTTTCTAATCACCATAATCAAAGAACAAAGCACAGTACTGGGCAAACAATGTTTTATCATTGGAAAAATATTTGAAAAATATTAATACACTGTCCATGAAAGCTTTACTGATTAAATTAATGCCACGCTATAACGGTCAACTTGTACAACTGGAAAAATGCCTGCAGGTGAAGGCTTTTTCCTGGGGCCAGAGATCATGTTTTCCTGTGATATTCCAGTTAGTGCCATCTAGTCAATTCAATGCAGACAATATATAACTTCATCTTCTTTGATTTTCTAGTCCTGTATTATTTCCCATTGGACTTTGTTTAATAAAAGATCAGTTGTACTGACTTTGATAATAAAAGTCCTTTTACACTCATAATGCTAATAAAAACAGATCTCCCCAGGTAATGTTTATCATTTTGGTTTTTATTATGCCAAGATTATGTACATTGCATTCTTCTGTTGGTATAATTTAGCTAAATGATACTCAACCATTTTTTTTATACCAAGCTAGAATCTGGAGAGCAGGAAGATCACTCCAAGGGTGTTGTCTTCCTGTGCAATATATGCCACAACAGACATACTATGCCTGTTGACACAAGGTAGTACAGTGTTGACAAAGCCTGATCCAAAGTTTCTTAAAAGTCAATAAGGAATATAATGCGAAGCTAGTAATGCTGTGAACAATAAGACCTCTAAAGTTCTCCTGGTCATTATGTTGACTTTAAAAGGGTATTCTTCATCTATACATCCTCACTATTGTATGTTGTATGTTTCTATCACCAAAGTGAATACATTCAGTATATAGCAATTAGGTAGGTATACCAAGACCCAAGTACTTTATTTTTGTTCCCTTCTCTATCTGGTTCAGTAGTATGTACACTAAATACTATAGGTGGTAGGTATGTCGGTGTACCTACTCTTCACCATAAGGGGAGCATCTTACTCCTGAGGTCTAGGTCACATTATCTGTGTTTGTTTTTCTTTTAGGGGACACGAGGCTTTCCTGGTGCTCCAGGTCTTCCAGGTCTCAAGGGCCACAGGGTAAGCCTTAATTATCTGCTTTCCTAAAAATCTATCACAACAGCTCAGTGTACAGACAATCAGTCTGTTAGATGCTTGTAGGGATTAGACCTATTGATCTCTACAAATAATGGCAGAAACATGGGAGATAGGAATGGAAAATATCTACTAGAAAAACCTGCTCCATCTCCCTTTAAGTTGATCCTTTATAGTACATTTTCTAGTGTTTCTCCAGTCCAGTTTCAGGTAACATAGAAAACTAGGAAAAAGTTAGACAAGGTTCTTCGTGTGAATCTGATATCTTTTATTAAATAGTTGGAAAATAATTATTAAGCAAGCTTTTGGGTTCAAAAACCCTTTGTCAGGCTAAGGAAGTTTCAGCAAACAAGCACCAAACCTCGCTAACCTCATCACCAGAAGCAAACTTCCTCAAGCCCAGAACACACCAAATGGATCCAGACCACGCCATGACAAGAAATGCAAAACCTGCCAACACATCTCCACCACCCCCACAATCACTACACCCCACAACAGAGCCATCAGCATTCCTGGATCTTACAGCTGCACCTCCAGAAATGTAATATATCTCATCCAATGCACCAAATGCCCTGATGGAAAATACGTAGAAGAGACCAAACAAGAACTGCACACCAGAATGAATGTACACCGGAAATCTATCAAAGACAGGAATACCCTATTACCTGTGGGGGCACATTTCTCATAAGATAACCACTCTCTCT